AGGATTTTTCAGTTGAAGATTTCTCGTGTAAAAAAGCAAAATGGGTTTGTTTATTTTTAATAGAACCATCTGTATATATTATTTCAAAATTTTGTTGTTCAAGATTTTTGATTTTTTCAATATATAATTTAGAAATTAAATCTTGATTAGCAGATTTTTTATTTTGTATTGATCCTTTAAAAAAAAATTTATCAAATTAAATTTTTGGAGAATTAAGGGGAGTATCTGGAACTAAAGCTATATTACAAAAAATTTATTTAAATTTATTATATATTTTAAAATAACTAGTTTTTTTATTAAGTTCATTTGTAAGAATTGTGTCTTTTATTGGTAAATTATATGCAATGCATTTAATTATTTTTTTAGCTGTTGTCAATTCAAAACGAAATTTGGATGGTAATTCTGATGCCATATGATAAATAATATGAGTTGGAGTAGATCTAATAAGACCTAGACAACGCCTGATATTTGCATTGCAGCAAGTATTAAGCTTTTGTAAAGCAGACTGAGATATATTGGCAAAAGTTAAACAAGCATAATCCATTTTGGAACGAGCAAAAGCTTTATAAAGTTGAAGTGCTTTCGAAGGGTGTATTCCAAATTTACAACCACTAATAATATTAAGGAAACGACACGCTTTATTTGTTTTCTCAATGATTTGATTAACATGATCATTGCATGCATCATTTATGTTAATAATTCTACCAAGATATTTAATTTTACGTACTTGTTCAATATTAATATTATTAATTTGAATGTTAATTTGAGAGTTTCTTTGGTTAAATATATTACTTTAGTTTTGAGAAAATTTATGTTTAAGTTAATTTTATTACATTCAATATTAAATTGGTTAATTTTGTCTTTTAATAATTGTTTGGTTTGATTTTGTTTGTGATGTGAACAAACTATAAAAAAATCATCAGCAAATTGAAAAATTTTACAATTTTGATTTGTTATGAAGTGTAGATGTGTTGTATAATTTTTTCATTTTCTAAAATTAAATAACGTTTTTTGAGAAAAGAATAAATCCAATTAATTACTTTTCTATTGAAATTAAAGTTAAGAAGTATATTTTGTAATATATCAATATCAACTGAATCATATGCCTTTTCAACATCAATGCAGGCAGCCATTACTAGAAAATTTTTTTCTTTAAGTGTAAATATTGTATTAATTAAATCGTTAATGCATTGAGATGTTGATCGATGTTTTCGAAAACCGTATGACCTGTCTGGTAAAATATTATGAAGAGAAATATGATTTTCAATATAAAATTTTAAAATACCTTCAATAGTTTTTGCTAGAACAGACATTAGACAAATTGGTCTATAATTTAAAATATTCGAAATATCAATATTTGCTTTTGGTATAGGAACTATTTTAATTTCTCTCCAAGTTTCTGGAAAAATACCATTATTCCAAGTATGAATTAAAATTTTGAAAAGTTTATTTTTTTTCTTCTTCACTTAATTGAAATAACATTTTATACGAAATAGAATCATTTCCTTTTGCTGAATTAAGATTTCTGCTATTTAAGAATTTATGAAAATTTTCCAAATTCATTTCGTTTAATGATTCATCAATCAAATTAAAAGTTTGATTATTATTAATTTGAGTGTTATTTTGTCTAGTAATAAATGATAAATATTTAATTTTATCTTGTGATTCCCAGGAATTATTTACTTTTTTATCACATTTATATTTTTTAAGATTTTTAATTTTAGACCACATTTCTTTTGAATTTGACGGATTTGAAATTTGATTGATAAGATCATTAAAATTATTTTGTTTTTGAGTTTTAATATGATCAGAAAGATTTTTTTCAGCCAAAGCTAATAATTCACAATTTTAAATAGTTTTATATTGATGATATTTTTTACGAGCCGCATTTGTTAATCTAAAAAGTTTATTAGAAGTTTCGGTCCACCATTGCTTTGGAACATACTTATTTGAAGAATTTATTTTAATTATATTCTTTTTGATTATGTTTTGGCAAGAATTTGTAAAATCTTCTAAATTGTTTCCCACTTTAAGATTATTCATATCTTTAAGTAATTGTTTATTAAGTAATTTTGATTCTTGATATAATTTGAAATCTTCATTAAAAGTTAGTATAATTGGGTTATGATTGCTGTTAGTTAATTTAGGTAATACTTGCCAATTATAATTTATGGTTTTATTAATAAAAGATACATCTATAGCTGAAGTTGAAAGGGTATTGGTAGAAAAAGTAGGAGAACCGTCATTCAGACAAAAAAAAAATATAATCAGATGCAATATTTTCAAGAATAGTTCCATTCTGATTTGTAGAATGTCTATCCCAACTAGGAGCTTTTGCATTTAGATCTCCTCCAATTAGAGTTATATTTTTAAGATGTCTGGTAAAATTGAAAATTTTTTCTAATTCATTTTTAAAAATTTGATTTGAAATATTTGGTGCGCAATATAGGCTAATAATATTTATATTTTTCTTTAAATTAAATGTAGTAATCCCAATGTTTTCTATATTACTATTAATTTTATAAGTAGAAAATTTAATATTTCTCTTCAAATAAATTCCGACACCTCCAAAACCATCTGATCGGTTAGTAAAAGTATAATTATAGTTATAAAGACTAGTATCTGTATTATTATTAAGCCAAGTTTCTGATAAAATTGCAATATCAATGTTATTATTTGTTAAACAAAGTTCTAATAATTCTTTGTCACCTTGACGTTTCAAGCTTTGAATATTAAATTGTAGAATTTTCATCATTATTGAAATTTGTATTATTATTAATTAAAGTATTATTAAAAATATTATTATTTTTAATTAAAGTTAATCGTATATTATTAAAAAGTTCCATAGTATTATAATTTAATCTGTCTTCAATATTATTTGAAAGATGTTTAGTTATTGCTTCATTTAGTTCATTAAAAGTATTTTGAGTATTGACAATTTCTTTTTTATCAATAGAAATAGAATCAGAACTTTGAGTTTGAATAGAATCTTTCCATGACTGCATTGGTTTGTACGCGTTAGCTTCTTCTCTTAATCTGTTATGATTTGTTTTTTTAATAACTTTTGAATAAGGAATAATGCTGTGAATAAAGTTATTTGTATCAGAGTTATTGATTGTGTAATTATTTTTATTTTTATTTTTTTGGGGTATAATAGGAAATTCTTCATTATAATTATTTAAAAGTTCAAATCTATTTTTTTTAAGCTTCTTTAAATGAAATATTTTCTACTGTCATAGTTCTTCGTATTATGAAAGCTTTTAATCTTGCTGGGCATTGTTTATAAGTTGGGGGATGATTGTCTTTACAATTAATACAGATAATAGGCTGACAAAATTCATTAATATTATGAATTTGAAAACACTTTTTGCATTTTGATTCTTTTTCCTTGCAATTTTGAGCATAATGATTAAAACGAAAACACCGATAACATTGAGAAAATGAAATAAAATGTTTTAATTCAATTTTAGTATAACTATAATTTATAAATTTTGGTATTTCTAAACCTTTAAAAATAATTTTTATTCTTTTTGTTGGTATTTTCAAATCTTTGTTGTCTTTATCTCTTCTTTCTATTCTAATTAGTTTTAAAATTGGAACTGGAGAATGTATTTCATTATATAATTCATCAGTTGAAATTTCTGTTGGTATGTTAAAAATTATACCCATTTTAGAAATATTATAACTTAGAATTTGTGGATCATAACCTTCTTGAATAATTCTTTTATCTTTGCAAATTTCATTAGCGGTTTGAAAATTTTTACATATAATTTTAGTTCTGCCGTAACCTACCTTTAATACGTCCTCTACATCGATATAATTTAATTTTAATAATAATTTTGTTACTGTAATAGCGTTAATGGGTTTTCTTCCTTCTAGATTAGGTTTGGTGTCAATACATACAATAAAAGGTCCTTTGCAATCTTTGTCATAAAAATAATATTCCTTATTGGGTTCATTTGGAAAATCTTTAGTAGGTTCATTGATGATCTTGGTGGTTTGATTTTTTGGTGGATTGATAGATGATGATGATGATAAAGTAAGAGGTTTTATGAAAATATAAGATTCATTTTTATTTGAATTATCTTCTAATCTTGATTTTTTAGTCACTTCCCTTTCTCTGGAAATGGATTTTTGCCTTTGCTTCTGTTTGTTCCGCTCTATTACTGAGGAGCCAGATGGCTCCTCATCCTCAATATCCATAAATTAAATAATTACTTATAAAAACGCGTAAAATATTAAAAATCGGATAAGAAAATATATATAATAAAACTATTCGATAAATAGCAGTTAGTTTTATATTAGTTTAAAACTATAAATACGTAAATATATTTTATGTTATTTTTAATTTTTTATATTTTTGAGCTCAATATTTTTTCCGATAAAAATGTATATCTTTAAGAGAAAATTTTTTTAATTTTTAAAATTCCTTTCAAAAATTAAAATTTCTATTTTTTTGTGTTTCAGAATTTCACACCGTTGCGGTACAATGCTGTTAATGGTGGTCGTTCCGACCCGCCTGATTATATGCACGCCAAGTTGATGGAACCACTGCCATCGGTGTCACCATTACCTGTCGCACCACCGCCTAATCCCCAACTAAATGGGCATGTACCAAAAGTTCTGCCACCGGGTCTTATTTCGTCGAAATTGAATCGAAAGCCAAGCATCGAACGGGAAACTCCGCTTAATTATCTGCAGCGATGTAGTCCGGCATTGGATTCTGGTGCGGGCAGTTCCCGCTCGGACAGCCCGCATTCGCATCAACAAGTCGCAAATGCTGGACGCGTCGGAACTGGACAATATTCACCGTCACCTTCCAGTTTCAGCGATGTTGGGCCGCCGGCACCGCCGCCACGGCATCCGACAACGGTAAATTCCGCAACACCGCCGCCGCCACCTCCCAATCAGCACTACAAACGGCGATCTCCTGCAAATACACGGCCAGCGGCGATCACACCCAGTCCAACAACACGCGGCACTTCCCCAGTTATAGTACGTAACGGCATTAAGGCACAACAACAACTGTCACAAATGAAGGCGCTAAGCCTGTATCAAGCTGGTGGCAACGCCGTTGAACCGCCGCCTCCGCCGTATCCCATCAATACAGTGGTGGTAGCGACATCAGCGCCGCCGCCTAGCTACACGGCCTCCATGCAATCACGTCAGTCGCCCACGCAGTCACAATCCGACTATCGAAAGTCTCCAAGCAGCGGCATATACTCAGCCACCTCTGCCGGCTCGCCCAGCCCCATCACTGTGACAAACAGCGCGAACCTACCACTGCAGCCGACCGCTGTGGCGCGTCCGCAGCCGCGAACCTACGCGCGCACCCAGCAGCCAATCATCATGCAAAGTGTGAGATCGACACAGGTGCAAAAGCCGGTTCTGCAAACAGCGGTGGCGATACAGACACCGGTATCGGCGTCGGCCTGCAATTCTCCTGTACACATTATGCCCGTGCCACCTTCATACCCCCAAAAATCCGCCGTCGTAGTACAACAGCAGCAAGCAGCTCAACAGCAATCGCCGTTGTTGGCTGGTGGCGTTCCTACCACGCTAAGCGCTGCGGGCAAGTCAGCGACTCCCACTACGCCGCCGCTTATTGCGAACGCGCTAAACGGCACCGTGGTTAGCAAACCGCCCTGCATCGAGCCTCCTTCGTATACCGTAACAATGCAGGCGAAGGCCGCTCAGCATCATCAGCAGCAACAACAGCAACCATCATCAGCAGCTGTCACTGCAGCCCAGTTGCGCGCAGCTGCAGCTTTAGTTGCACAACAACAGCAACAGCAGCAGCAAAAGCAGGTGAGCGCCGTACCAGTTCCAGCACGTCAGTTGCCCCCACCACCGCCCTACCAGAGCACACGCGCTGCTGCAGCGCCACCGACGCTCACTATTGCGGATATGAGTGGCAATAATAATATGATGGAAATTAAGGCAAATAACAAGGTGGCGCTCCACAACAACATAATAAATAATAACCAAATCACAAACAGCAACTTGACAACAACACCGCCAATACCACCGGCGAAAAATAGCGGTGGCAGTGGTGGCACAACCAGTTCTGGCAGTGGGGGCGGTGCATCACCAGCGGCATCGAGTACTGCAGTGGCAGGTGGCGCCGTTAGCAAAGGCGGAAGTGGTGGAGAGAAAGTCAAGCACGCCTCGCCCATACCAGAGCGAAAAAAAGTCTCCAAAGAAAAAGAAGAGGAGCGCAAAGAATGCCGCATAACGCAGTACTCCCCTCAGGCTTATAAATTCTACATGGAACAGCACATCGAAAACGTGATCAAGTCATGCAAGCAACGTGCGTATCGAAAGAACCAACTGGAAAAGGAGATGTCACGCATGTGTTTGCCCCAGCAGGCGCAAGTGGAGATGCGGAAAATGTTAAGCCAAAAGGAGAGTAATTATATACGCTTGAAACGCGCCAAAATGAACAAAAGCATGTTTGAGAAAATCAAGGACATAGGTTTGGGCGCATTTGGTGAGGTGTCGCTGGTTAGAAAGATTGACACAACGAATCATCTGTATGCCATGAAGACGCTACGCAAGGCGGATGTACTGAAGCGTAACCAGGTGGCGCATGTGAAAGCAGAACGTGATATTTTAGCGGAGGCCGATAACAATTGGGTTGTTAAATTATACTATAGTTTTCAGGATAAGGAAAATTTATATTTTGTGATGGACTACATACCGGGTGAGTACACTTTATAATCTTTAAAGTCGTGAATTATTAAGTTACGCATATGTATTATGTATTATAATTTTTTCTTTACCCAAACAGGCGGCGACTTGATGTCTCTATTAATTAAGAAAGGCATATTTGAAGAACCTTTAGCGCGGTTCTACATTGCCGAATTGACATGCGCTGTTGAAAGTGTACACAAAATGGGTTTTATTCATAGGTACGTAGAGTAAAAGCGGTGAAAAAGTGCTTATACATTATTTAGTTACTAACAACATTTATTCTTCTCATTACAGGGATATCAAACCTGACAATATACTCATCGATAGGGATGGTCATATTAAATTGACGGATTTTGGATTATGTACTGGGTTTAGATGGACACACAATTCTAAATATTATCAGGAAAATGGTAAATATATCAAGCACTGACTAACTTAGATACATATAATATGTAATATAAAAATAATGTAATAGCCAACCAAACCTGTTGCTACGAATGTGAACGTAAAAATTTTTAATTTTAAACTTTTATGGATTACAATTCTTGACCTATGTATAAATAAATAATACAATTTTCTTCTTAGGCAACCATTCGCGACAAGATTCAATGGAGCCTTGGGAAGAGTACTCCGAAAATGGGCACAGACCAACAGTCTTAGAAAGGTAAATATGATATTTTTTCTGAAGTCCCTGATAAATATCATCAACACTTTGTTCATATTCACAGGCGACGCATCCGCGATCATCAAAGAGTATTGGCACATTCACTGGTGGGCACGCCAAATTATATTGCACCAGAAGTGCTGGAACGTAGTGGTTACACGCAGCTTTGTGATTGGTGGAGCGTTGGTGTTATACTCTATGAAATGTTAGTCGGGCAACCGCCATTTTATGCGAGTACTCCAGTAGAAACACAACAAAAAGTATGCCAACATTTAAGTATTACCAATGCCAACTAAACTGAACTTGTCCATCTGTTACAGGTAATAAATTGGGAAAAAACTCTGCACATACCGCCGCAAGCGAAATTAACCCCAGAAGCTACTGACCTGATACGACGCTTATGTTCGTCAGCGGATAAGCGTCTTGGCAAAAATACAGAAGAAGTGAAAGCGCACCCATTTTTCAAGGGTGTTGATTTTGCTGATATGCGCCAGCAAACTGCACCCTATATTCCAAAGATAGAATTTCCCACAGATACGTCCAATTTTGATCCGATTGATCCGGATAAATTACGTTCGAATAATTCAAATGTAAGCGGCGATGATTTTGCTGATAGCGACAGACAGTTCCATGGATTTTTCGAATTTACATTTAGGAGATTTTTCGATGATAGATTCAATCCTGAGATGACAGACGATCATTCAACGTATCAGGACGTCGGAAATACAACACAGAGCAATCATAATGCAAACGAACAGTTTATTTAGTCATTTAAGTAGTTAATAGGGGAAACTTATAAATACAAAAGTATAAGAAATTGTGTTTGTATGCAGTTAGTTATGTAGTTAATTAATGTAATGTCACAAAAATCTCCTAGTTTGAAGTTTGAATAAGAGCAAAGGTATAGCAGACTGTTAATGCAATATTTAATATAAAACCTTATCGCCCACCGTAAAAAAGAGAAAAAAAGAAAGGGGGGAAAGTACACATAAATATATCAGCAGATATACATAAACGATCGTTGTGCTAAATATCAAAATATATTATCTGCATACTAGTTCATGCCAGTGGTGCACACATATTTCATCCGATGCAAAATGTGAAATAGAAAATTATTAATTACATTTGTAAAAATTTTTTCTTAGTTTTTTTACCGCTGAACATCGACTGTTAAAATTTTTTGATTCGTTATATTTTTACAATTACATATTTGCTTGAAATCAAACGATGTCAAATTTTTTAAAAATATTTGCTTTAAGACTAAATTTTAAATAACAGAGCTACAACGATATTTCAGAATTCATGCCGGTTTTAAATGTAAAACGCATCAGAAAAATATGCGCGTGCACCATTAGTATCGACGAAATTTTTACAAAAACAAAGCAAGTGTAATGAGTTCTTAGTTATCATGAACGTTGAGAATTTTTTCATAGTCTAACTTTAATATTCGGAATTAATTTGGCTTGTTGTAGATAATTGCTAATATTCATTTGATGAGTAATTTTTGGAAAACTGTAAATTAGTTTTTAAACATTATACAAGAAACTAGTATATATTTAATTAATCGAAAATGAACTGAGCCTAGAGATAAAACACTATTGAAAAACGTATATATAAATATATTTGTGTTATTAAAACATAGATCATAGATATGAATCATTAAATGTTAACTAGAAACACCTATACATATACAAGTCTCTTGCTATGTACTATGTAAAATTTTGAGTTCAATCTATCCTGAACATATGAAAAATTTCATAATTGCTGTGCCTTATTTTAAAAGGATACATATTTTTGTATACGTACATACTACTGACGTCCAAGTATATAAGATAAATAGTAACTTATGTAAGCACTGCAGGCCCTTTAATGCATAAACGTATCTACAAAACTGCGCTTGTGTTCGGTTCTTGAAACTATTTTGTAGGAGTTCTTTGTATGTATCTACCTACATATCTGACGAATTTAAAAACAAATTGTAACAAAAATATACCATTTATACTGTTATGGGAGTCTAAGAAAAAAGTGATCTATTTCAGCAGGCTGGATAGAAAATAACTGTTTGGGAAGCATGTGATGAGGTATGAAAATTGTTATAGAAATTGACTGGAAAGAAAAGCAAAAGCACAACCGCATAATGAGTAAAAATTTAATAACACCAAACTGGCCTGCACGGACATAAAATATTTTTCAAAAAAAAATGCCTTATGTATAAAATGATATATGTATCTATTTTAGTAAAGCTAGCGAAATAAGCTGGTCTTATACACCAAATCTGTTCAACTGTCAAAGCATTTCTCAAAATCAAAATAAAATGAGCTCGTCAAGTGCTGACAAATTTAACCAATTGAAAGAGAATGAATGTAAAATTTGCTCAATTGGTTTTCAGAACCATGTCTTAATTTTTGTATAATTTGAAATGTAATCACCCTGAACTTTTCTCTGGGTATTGTTACTCGTCATTTCGAATGCATTCAACTGTAGATGTAGCCTTATCTCACAGTTTTGTTAAATAACAAATTAATCAGGCTGGCTCTGCAATTCACTTCCGAGTGAGTTTCAACCAAAGCCACTTTGAATCAAATGGGGTTGGAATTCACTCGGAAGTGAATTGCAGAACCGGCCTGAATGTGTATGCATTGTATTTATTGAATTGAAAAGCCAACGATGTGTAAAAAATGGAGGAGAATATGAAACAATCAATAGCATGGCGTTAGTATATAAACAAACATATACATACGAGTAAACAAACAATGTTTTTAGTAATAGTTAATTTAAATACCAATAAGTTGATAGAGTAACTAATTCTAACTTACGATTACATTAGTACATTAGCAATTTGCATACATACATACATGCATACATACATAACATACATTTACACACATCCATCTTTACGGTAGACAAATTTATGGTTACATATCGTTACCTTAATATAGAAAGGCCGTAACAAACATAGTAGTTGTAAAACTAAAGTTCTTCAGTGGCAAATTCCTTCAAGTCTGTGGTTTTTAATAAAAACTAAAACTAACTTAATGACGTAGTACTGGTTTTACAAATCTATTACGGTTCTATCTACGGACTTATGTGCAACGGTAAATTTTGAAAGAAAGTGAGTTCGGGCATTTCTCTGTTAAGGTAACAATATGTAAACTTCAATATTTTTACCACACTTTTGGCTTGCTCGGAAAGGTATCAATGCAAGGTTTCTATCAGTCTCTTTTTGATTTGTAAACTTAAATTGATGGAAATGTCCAATAAGCGTAAACATAGTTAAGAGTTAGCTATGCGTTTGTCAACAAACATTTTTTTGCAATACCCGCATACATATGCACTCTATTTGTTGTTTGTCTTTATTACACATCCTGTCATACTTTCAAACAGTTTTCATATTTATTGTTAAATAAAATACATACATTGCAGAAATAATGTGCCTTCGATTTTGGAGAATGCAATGCCTCTTTTAACGATGCGCTTTGTAGAGCGAAGATTTCACAAGTCTATGTTTATCGTACTCTGCTTTTCACAATATTGCAGCAATAAATGTGTATATAGTTAGTTTAATGTTAACACTTTAGTAAATGTATGAAATTGTTTGCAAAACCAATTCGTAATCCGCAAAGAGTAGCTTAACAAAATAAATAAGTACATAACTACAAAAATAAATTATAATAAAAAAATTTTGTATATCTGAAAATTTCTATTCATGTATCTTATCTCTAATGTCTGAAATATGTAGTTGTTGTTCATATTTTTAATTTAATTTTGTGTATAGAAGAGAAATGATCCGTTGATGCGAGATACTTTTTGAAATACAAACTAATAAATAAAAAACATAATATTTCAAAATATTAACCTTTAATATATGGGTAGTTATTATGGATTATGCTGTTATCAAGAGTAACACCCTCAGGGCCAGTTTTTCAGTGCACGGCTGTGGTTAAAACTTTTTTAAACGCTGTTGTGGTTGTTGTTGTAACAGCATGAAAATTCCCCAAAGAGTTTTTGGGGAGTGTTGCTGGAGTGACAGTCCTTGGCCAGATATAGATCTGGGTCGTTCCGGTTACGTAGACCCGACTGTCGTGGGAACGCACGAGCTGGCTGGTTTAAACTAAGATTAACCAATCAAATATCAGCCAGCTGTTCAATTTAAGCGCAGTTTACGTAATCTAAGTTTAAACTGGCACCGAAAAGCTGGCCCTTAAAGATAGATATATATAAATACGCGGTGTTTCGCTGTGACCCAAAGATTTATGTCATCTGCTCTTTATAACACTTCTGTTTAGTCCTCTTAACACCTCTGTCCTTTTCGTAATTACGCCAGTTATTCATCCCAAATGCCGGCAGGTAACTTTTCCGCCCTTGCTTTCGTTGTCCACCCATGGTTGCAGGGTTAAATACATACACAGCATAAATTTATTATTGGAACACATCAAGAACCAACCGTTCAGCTATGGGAAAACTAAAAATGCAGACCGATAGTACTTTTTACGCTGATTTCAACTATATAAAAATTATTTGCCGCAATTAAAAAGTAAAGAAGGCATAAAAGGTTAAAGAAATTTTTTTTGATATTTTAAAGTAGTAATATTTTCTAAACTACGTAACCGATTAAAAAAGTAATGATATCAAAATAAAGACAATTAATCTATCTTTTTAGTTGATATACAAAATGTGTTTGCTTGCTTATATATATTAATCCAAAAATATTAAAAAACAAATAAAATGTTATAATTTTTTCATAAAATAACCTTTTTTAGAAAAAAGTGCAGAATCATACATATATATTATTTAGAAAGAGCAAGTTCTTACCTTTAATTTTAATTTCTTAATTTAATTTTAAGAATTCAGTGATAAAAAAAATTAAAAGCATTTACAAGCAAGTGACAAGTGTGGGTGATATCATAAGGGCTGTTCAGGATGTTGTGGAATTGGTCTTGGATTTGCAGTTGGAATTACATTTGCTTGCTGCCATGGCAACCGTGTGCATTTTATTGTTGTGAATTTACAAATGCAACGAATATGCAAATCCAAGAGCATATGCACAAGATCCTGAACAGCCCTAGTGTTTCTTTTGCCCAGAACTCCTTCTGCGTAGGCTTAGGGATCATAACCCTTACAAAGTAGAATTCTCCTTTCTGTATTGGCGAAGAAGCGGAGCTCCCTAGGGAAGCATAGGGAACCTAGGTGGTCGGGGGTTGCATTTTTGTCAATGGCGGTTCATTCCCTCTCCAAAAAGGTGGGTTAGAGGTGCCACGCCCATTTACCTTTCGCCCACCGCTCCTTTAACGAACGGTCATAATGGAAAGCCAACCCGTTTAATTAACTACAATATGCATTTGCACATACATGCATTTATATTTTTTATTATCACTGAATTCTGAAAACTCAAAAGTAAATCATAATATATTATGTATATCAAATTAAAGGTAAAAACTTGCACTTTATAAATAATATAAATATTTTTAGCATTGGTTTTGGACTTTTTCTAAAAAGAAGGTAATTTTTTTTTTAAATTATGAAATTTTTTTTGTTTTATAATATTTTTGGCTTAAATATATAAAAAAAGCACATATTTTATATAACAGCTTGAAGATTAATTAATTGCCTTTATTTTGACATTACCTTTTGAATCGGTCACGCAGATTAAAAAGTATTAAAAAATCATCGGGAGAAAATCGCCGCAACATTACGCCCAGTAAAAGAGAACAGCAATGAAATTCGCATTAGCTGAATGAGAAATCGTAGCCTGGATAAAAAATTGTCGCATATTACTCCCTTCAGACTTTGGCAATTGTGGTTGAAGTTTCGAGTGCAATTTCGTAAAAAAGCGACAAATAAATTTTCTCCAAAGTCTCGGAGAATGTTACTAGTTCACGAAATTATTAAATTAATTTATTTTTATTGTTTATTGTTAACTATTTTGAAGTTTCTTTCATTAGTAAAATTTTGTCGTATGCGACATTTGTCAACAATTTTGCAGCCACTTTGTATGATATACGACAAAATGTGATACAAATTTGTACTAAATTAACGATACCTTTTTCTCAATATCTCGGAAACTAAAGAAATAATCCAAAAACGGATAACACCATTTGAAAGATCTTATTTTGAAATATATGAAAGCATCTTTAACTAAAAATCTTCAACAAAAAAAAAGAAATCCTGAACTACAATTATGCATCTGTCTTTTAAAAATATCTTTTTATATGCAACGTGAGTACGATTTGAAATTTTTTACGTAACGTAAGAAACTGGAGCACAGATATTTTAAAACGCTTCTAAAATAATTCTTAAATACAAATGCAAATACCTGACATAAAACTATTTGAAGTATTTTGAAAATATGAATATAGTTGTGTTTTCGTATTCTCCGGCAAAATATATCCAGTAAATTGCCAGTAACCAAATTTCGGGGAGTAAGCCAATATTTACTCCCAATGACTGAAATAGACACGAAAGTACGAAAACGCAAAACCAGCAAGAAGTTGCTAGTTTAATGAACAGATGATTAATTCAGGGACCAAAAATAACTGTTACCTCGAATTTACAAATTGAAAACGTTGTCTGAACTCTGAAATTTAACGAAAACGTTGTTTCATAACAGTTAATAGATGAGAAATATTTTTTCCGTTGCTGATAAGAGTTATTTCCCAACGTTTATCTTATATGTTGCTCGATAACGGTTATTGCCCAACGTTTATTTTTTACGTTGCTTGATAGCAGTTTTGGCCCGACGTTTATTTTTATGTTATCTGATAATAGTTATTTCACTCTCTCACTTTTATTTCATCATCTTTATCTTATTCTCCATCTCCATCTTCATCAATATCCTGTCCTTACAACGTTTATCAGACAACGTAAAAAACAAACGTTGTAAAATAACGCTTATCCAGCAACGTAAAAAATAAACGTTGGGAAATAACTCTTATCGGCAACAGAAAAAATATTTCTCCTGCAAAACAGTTATCAGGCAACGTAAAAAGTAAACGTTGGGTTATAACTCTTATCGACGAAATAAAAAATATTTCTCATCTAATAACTGTTATGGAGCAACGGTTTTGCTATAAAACTTATAACTGTTATGTCCTTGGATTAATTTGTTATTTTCCGATGCAATTTTCTAAGAAAACCAGTATTTCCCATCTTATTACATATTCAAATAAACCTATTTGCAATTCTAAAAGCACCACAAACAATTATTTTGTTAATGGGAATTACATTAAGCATCATGCCATCAGCTGTTTTTCTTACTAGCAAATAGTTGTTAGTAAAAATTTATCCAGTAAAACTTGCAAGTTCAGCTGTCATTTTTGCTCTCTCAATTTCACCTCTCTTGCTAGTTTCTTGCAATAATATTAGTACTGGATAGTGCGTACGCGAACAGGGCTTTTGAATTTCTCCAAGGTTGGAGAAATATTTTTTTGATGTTTGTTGGGCATTAACGAAAAATACAGCACTGCTGAAAATGCGCAAAAGGGCCCTGTCTCTACAGGAAAACACTGCGGGCGGGATAACCACAGTATAGACAGTAACCAACCTTTTTGGGTTGTTGTTGTAGTAGTCGTTGTTGTTGTAGTTATATTCACTCCTGAGGAAGGCACGGGGTNGCAGTTTTGGCCCGACGTTTATTTTTACGTTATCTGATAATAGTTATTTCACTCTCTCACTTTTATTTCATCATCTTTATCTTATTCTCCATCTCCATCTTCATCAATATCCTGTCCTTACAACGTTTATCAGACAACGTAAAAAACAAACGTTGTAAAATAACGCTTATCCAGCAACGTAAAAAATAAACGTTGGGAAATAACTCTTATCGGCAACAGAAAAAATATTTCTCCTGCAAAACAGTTATCAGGCAACGTAAAAAGTAAACGTTGGGTTATAACTCTTATCGACGAAATAAAAAATATTTCTCATCTAATAACTGTTATGGAGCAACGGTTTTGCTATAAAACTTATAACTGTTATGTCCTTGGATTAATTTGTTATTTTCCGATGCAATTTTCTAAGAAAACCAGTATTTCCCATCTTATTACATATTCAAATAAACCTATTTGCAATTCTAAAAGCACCACAAACAATTATTTTGTTAATGGGAATTACATTAAGCATCATGCCATCAGCTGTTTTTCTTACTAGCAAATAGTTGTTAGTAAAAATTTATCCAGTAAAACTTGCAAGTTCAGCTGTCATTTTTGCTCTCTCAATTTCACCTCTCTTGCTAGTTTCTTGCAATAATATTAGTACTGGATAGTGCGTACGCGAACAGGGCTTTTGAATTTCTCCAAGGTTGGAGAAATATTTTTTTGATGTTTGTTGGGCATTAACGAAAAATACAGCACTGCTGAAAATGCGCAAAAGGGCCCTGTCTCTACAGGAAAACACTGCGGGCGGGATAACCACAGTATAGACAGTAACCAACCTTTTTGGGTTGTTGTTGTAGTAGTCGTTGTTGTTGTAGTTATATTCACTCCTGAGGAAGGCACGGGGTTGTGTGCTGCTATTTAATGGCCTTCCTCAGACTTTTTCTTAGATTTCAGGGTTGTGTGCTGTATTATTATAGATAAATAAATTTAAGTATTTGTCAAATCATGATTTTATTAAAAGAAAATTATAAATGGTGTTGAAAAACCAAACAAACACTCGTGCGAAAGCTCTATTTTTGTGTATTGTTAAAATTTATACATGGCGTACTTATTCTTTTGTGGACTTTATGTTACTTGAGAATTTAGACAACGTGCGAGCTGCCAGGTTCTGTTATCAATATAATTAACACAAGCTTTTCCGAGTGGTTGCCTTTCAATAAAAAGAATAAACAAATATTCGCAAATAAATTGGATTTA